CTAGCTCTGTGCTCATCAGTTGGTCTACTGGCAGGCTCCCAGCATCTGTAAATAGGCCTAAGTGGTTCATCCAAATACTCCAAGGATCTTCAACACTTTCCTAAACCAAGTTTTATCATCTGGTAATTACCTGGAATTCTGCAACCAGCCTGAACGCACTCCCCTTAAAACCATGCATTTGCACAAGTGCTAATAGTAACTTGCACTTACTGGAAATAAATTGTCTTAACTTGTAGCTTTTGAATTGTATTTGCTGGGCTAGTAGTTGTGAAATTCTATCTTTTAGCTTATAAGATTATCAAATTTGATCTATAATATACTGAGAAAGAATGATCTTCGAAATAGTGCTTTTTTGAGTCACTTTTATGATTGAAAACAGTTCAAGGTTAAATTTTCCTAGAAAGTCTTTTAGTGTCTGGTTACAGACAACAAACTGCACAGAAGAAATAGAATCATTTACAAAGATGTATCTAGTCCAACCGAAAATTATAGATTTAAATTACCTAATAATTCATCTGAACATAATTATTCTCACTATAAGAAAATGTGAATGGAGGTTTGCAAGTGTAGAAGACAGTATGAAAAGAGAGCTACCTTTTTCTTACTGTTTTGTATGTTCTTTTATTTTGTTTCTCTTTTAAGAGCTGGCTGTATAGCTGGTGTTTGAGAATGTCTCCTAAAAGCTATACGGATACATGTTTTCAAGGAATTGAAATGAAAGTCAGGTGAAAACTTCCTGAAGCACTACAAAATCAAGAAAATCCTGTATGTTGAACCATAAGGCTTCTTTCCACCAACCCTCTGAAATTCCTCGTTGATGTTTGCTTTTCCCTCTGCACTTTGTAGTCCTCCCATGAATGAGAAGTCTATCTTTTATCTGTTTAACATGTGAAAATACAGTTTTGTCCTCTCAATTATTTTTAATGTATATCAGGGAAAAAAAAAAACCCACACCAAAAGAATAACAACAACAACAACAAAAACACCAAACAAAACACACCAAAAAAAAAACCCCAAAGAAGTTGCTGAACATTTATTCAGCCTACTATGGCAGCTTTTTGTTATTTAAGACATAAATCAAATTTGGAACTTCTTTTTTTCTTGGGGGACAAATTGTTTATCTGAATTCGAATGTGCTTGTGAATCAGTCATTGGGATAGTACTTGTGCTATTGCTGTGTAAGAACAATTATTTGCATTGTTTTACATTGTGTTACTCTATAACTTTAAGGTAGTCAGGCTTTGCACAGATGCACAGTATCTCTGCAAATCACTGCAGGATTAGAGCCATGGACCTCAGTCCTCCAAACAGTTATTGGCATGTTTATGTCACATTAGAACAGCAGAACTCTTCCAGCCTGGAAAGTTACACAGTGCATGACTGGTTTCTGGGGCCTGAGCCCAAATTTGTTCCCCAGGCAAAGCCCATTGAAGGATCAGAGCTACAAGGCTTGTTCACAAAGAAATACTTAGAAGATAACTAAATAACTTTGTGAATTGGGTACTAGTTCATACTCTCTTCCCTTTTGGTTCTGTGGCTCTTAGTAAACCTTTTTTACGTTTGTGACACTTTACTATGGGTTTAGTGAATTGCAGCTTCATGCCTTTTGAAATGGACAATGCATTCCTAGTGTCCAGAAATCTAGAAATCTCATACTGCATTATCAGGTTTGGGAATAGAAAAAGAAGTTTGTTCCCTTAGTAGTTTCTGCTGAAGATATTTAAGGACAGACAAAGCCGAGCGCTTTCCCAACAGAGTATGCAGTTACCTGCTTTGTAAAGGCAATCCAGACTTTTTATACTTCTAAGCCTGACAGTGTAAAATATTTCATTCACATGCAGTAAGCATTGACTTTTATCACATAATTAGCATTCTAAACTCACAATTTCAGAAGTTTATAACTCAACAGTAGGTTTAAATTCAGTAAATTCAGGCCAGAAGCCCTATTTTTCAGTGCAAAAGACATCTTTAGTTTCTACAGTATCAAGCCAAGCAGACCTTGTTTATTTCAGGCTTTTTTAAAGGTCTTATATTACAAATTAAAAAAAAAAAAAAAAAAAAGAAATTAATTGCTAGAGTTTCATTCTGATGTTCCTCATATTGCAAGCCTCCTTTGACATAATTGGGAAAAAAATTGAAAAGGCTGAGTGATGGGCATTTAAAACCAACTCCTGAGAACTCATAATGGACCATATTCCATATACTCCTGACTCCAAATCTCACTGACATCGATGGATGTGTTCTATACACATCCTATTTTTAAAATCCTGCATGCATAATCACCATAAGCATTGTTAGAGTATCTGCTGTGGGTGGGTGCAACTCTGAATGCAGATTTGTACTGTCAGCCATAATGTTTCTCTCCTGAGAGAAATTCAAAATGCTGTTCATAAACTCTTCTGGACTTCTAGGTAACTAATCCCATCTCACACTTACACTGTCAGGTACTTTTTGTTAAAGAAAATCAAACACTTCAGAATACCTATTTATATGACAGACACTTTTCCAGTCTGTTGGATAAATTAAATGCATTTTATAGCATACCCTTACAGAAATGTATAGGTTTGTACATATTATAATAACAACAAAATGATGTTGAGTTTATGATACAAGGTTCCATGAGCCTAAAAAATGTCAGTGCCAATACTGTACTGTATGTCAGATGTTTTCCTGTCTTTCATAAAATTTTGTATGAAAGAGAAACTTTAATTGCAACTGCTTGGGAATGGTATATAAAGCCTGATCTTTTTTTGAGCATGAGATATTGTGTGTTTAACGCTACTTCTGTGTGTTTAGGAAATTACCATTAGAACACAGGAGGATCTATTGTACTTACTGCCTGTGCTAGAGCATAACGTGCTGGACTACAACAACTACACTTGTTAAGCTGATTTTAGCATTTCTTCACACAGCAGGAAGCACCCATGCTGTGGTTTCTTAATGTACTCTTTAACTACTGCACTGTACTGTACAATAAAAATAATAATTAATCATGATCCTCATCTTACCAGTGCTGCTACTATCCTGATGATTCTGGCTGCTGTTTCAGCAGCATACCTCGAAATACATATCTTTCCTTTCAGAGTTTTATTTCTTATATGATATTGCTGAACAGAGCTGAATTTTTTGGGGACAAGTTTGTTGCATGGATTGTGATGGCTTCGCATTTGTTCAGGTCTCCAATGACCTGTACCAGTAAATGTGAAAGAAACAATGGCAGAATGGCATACTTTCCCATTTCCACTAGGATGAAAAATACTCTAAATTAAGTCTAACCTTAAATGTATAATCTGTCCTTGGGAGCAAGAAAAAAAAAAAAAAAAAAAGAGGATATAGCATCTTCAGGCTCTTGGCATCCCTTACGAGAAAAAATTGGTTCTAAGGGTCTCTGATCTTGTGTTTTAGTAAAATAGAACTGCACGGCTGACTGACAGTTCTGATCTAAAGCATTTACGTTTAAGTTTTGATCTCTCTGCTTTTGATTAAAACTAATGAGCTCATTTAATTCAAAATGGGAATCTCTGATAAGAGAAATAAGGTTGATGTGATTGGATTAGAGGGGCAAATTAAACTCTTAGAGCAGAAGTTTGTGCTTATATAGTGTATTAAAAAGCTGTTGGCGTATTATGGTGTGTTAGATGATGAGAAAAATTTCATAGTAATTCATATTTAATCAGAAGAAATGAAAGTACTAAATATAACATGGCTCTGCTTTTCCCTCGAGTGATAAAGAGCTGTACATTTAAAATGACATCGAATTCACACTCTCTAAAACAAAAAAATCTTAAAAGAGACACTAAAGAAAGGGGCACAGTTGTCAGTTATCACAATAGAGCTGAAATGTCACCAGCACAAGACAGCTTGACCACATCAAATCAAGGACAATTCAGTATAATCTGTAGCTCACAAACAAGTTTGTGTGTTTCTGTTGACTGCATAACAAATGCTTTTTAAATACTTGAACATGTTCTACTAGTGGCTCGTATGATTCTCCTAAACAATAGCAGAATAATTTCAAACCAATTTTTTTATTCTGTGTTAATTCCTCACTGAAACTGAAAGTTTGTTTGTCTCCAGTAATGCTTGGTTGTTGTAAGCTGCTCCAGAATTTTCCAATTAACAATATTTTGGGGAGAGATTGTTTATCAGGCCTAAAAAATAACAATAATAAAGATTGTATAAAGAATATCTTGTTTACAGGGTTTGTACATGTTATCTTGATGTTTACTGGTATTGTACATGCTATTTCTTCATGGTTTATGTAAACTAAGAGTATTTACAATGTTAAGCGGTTGCATTTGAGGGAGTGAGAAACAGGTGAGAGCTACATTTAGTTGCGAGCAAGAAATATCTCTTCAGATGGACTAAAGTTATGTTTCAATAATGACTAAATAATCACCAATAATTGATTATGATTATGACAATTATAATAATATGTGTCATTTAATGCAGAATTTTTGCCTTCAGGCTGTTTAGTGCTTTACTGGTAATAAGGTCCCTAAATTTCCCCTCAGTACTGGGGAAGCCAAGGCACTCAAATCCAGTAGTGACTCACCCTATGTATCATTGCAGTCAAGGAGTAGAGATTAGGGAATAAAAGCTTGCAGAATTTGCAGCTTATTTCAGGAGACAGAATTGCTACCTCAGTGAGACTTCACCTTTCACGAAATACTGAAGAACATTTTTTAAACAATGTCATACCTTAAAAAAATAACTCCAGTCATAATAAAATCATACAAGAAAGAGTTAACGAGGCAAATCTCTGTTAAAAATTCTATGGGTAAAATAAATAGAAAATTAGGCTTACTGAGTGTACGTATATTTTTCAAAATTTTTTTTTGCCAAATAAACATTTTCTAAATGAGGTAGATTGATTACAACACTCTTAGCATCCATCAGTCATTTATTTTTAGTGAGTTCAAGGATTGCACCTGAAAAATAACTTAGAGGGGATGTATAAAATCTAAATTATGTGTATATGTATTTTTTCTATTTCCTAGTGGAATCTACAAGCCCCAGTTTACTAACCACTGACAACACTCTAGAGCGCTCTTTTTTCATCCGAATGAAATCTACACTGACCAAGCGAGGAGTGCACATCAAATCGTCAGGTTACAAGGTAAGGGCTGCCCTGAAGCATGAAATATTGACATCTTAAAATTATGTTCATTCATGTTTCAGGAACACCTTAATAGACAGAGAAAGGAGCTATTTCACATTTGCAAATGTCTCATTCCTTTTGTTAAAGAATCATTAGTACAATATTTCCAGCCGGAGGTTTGATGCTGGTACTACACCTCCATTAAATTGATCATTATTGTGATAAACATTGATGATAACAGCGTGAGAGATTTCAAAAGAGCAACACTTCTGAAGTAAAGGTATCTTTTACCAAAGGAGGTGAGTCAGAGTAACATCACTTTTCCCATAGTGGAAAATTACTGCTCATTTCATCTTTAGATTATGTTTTTCCCAGAGAAGGTAGGATTTTTCCATGCAGACAGTATGCTAGAGCTATTTCATTTTGCTGCCATTCCAGCTCAAGGAAACAACAAGCCGCAATGAGTACTTTTCCACCATTTTTCTTTCATTGTCTGTCTGAGGGGCATCTGCTGCTGGGGATCATATTTGCTGGATTTGAGACTCTTTTAAGATATGAAATTCTCTTGTTCCTTATCAGCGGTAATCTCATTTTTCTTCAGTCATATATCGCTCATAGCGCCTGTAGCTATCAGTGGCTTTGCAGTATACTAAAACTAGAAGGAAGAGCATATTTTTAACATTGTCAACTTGTGGAATGAAATATGTCATCCATTAAGTTTTATACAAGATAAAAGAGTGGTGCAAGAAAATAAGTCTGAGAATGTGTGTTTATTTAAAGAAGTTGCTTGTCAATGTTCATTTAAAAACTTTCACAAGTGTTTTGGGGTTTTTTTTCAGTTTTCAGAGGAAGATTTAGAGGAGCTTTAAAGTAAAATTCCCCTAACTAAATTTTCTTTAAAAATTCTCTGTGAATATAGCATCATCATACCTGAGCAGTAAAAATCTAGTAGAAAGGTAGAAATATCTTTTTTGCAAGCAAATGACTGGTAGTCTTTCGGTTGGATGGTTTCTGGGTCAAGACAATTAAAGTAGTTGCTAGTAAAAGTTTAAAGTCCAAACCAGTGGTTTCTTAAGGCACCACAAGCTTTGATCTGTGCCCTGCTTAGTTGTCAACACCTCAAAGAATGCACTGAGTACTTGTTCATTCTGACCAGTTTACAATTTTCAGGAAGTGTCAAGACCTGGAAGTGTACTGACAGTCTAAGGAGGCACAAGGTGAATGAATGAATGGGCAGGTCATGGAATCACAGAACGGTTGGGGTTGGAAGGGACCTTAAAGATCCTTTAGTTCCAACTTTCCTGACATGAGCAGGGACACCTTTCACCAGATGAGGTTGCTCAAAGCCCCATCCAATCTGTCCTAAAAAATTCCATGCATAGGTCATCCACCAGTTCTCTGGACAACCTGTTCCAGTGTCTCACCTCTCTCACAGTAAAGATTTTCTTCCTCATATATAATCTAAACCTACCACCTTTCAGTTTAAAGCCATTCTCCTTGTTCTATCACTACATACCCTTGTAAAAAGTCCCTCTTCAGCTCTACTGTAGGCCTCTTTAGGTACTGGAAGGCTGCTGTAAGTTAACCCTGAAGCCTTCTCTTCTGCAGGTTGAATCCCAGTTCTCTCAGCCTGTCCTCATAAGAAAGGTATTCCATCCCTCTAAACATCTTCATGGCCCTCCTCTGGTCCTGTGTTGTGGGCCCCAGAGCTGGACACAGTACTCCAGGTGGGGTCTCGCCAGAACAGAGAAGAGGGGAAGAGTCACCTCTCCTCACCTGGCCAGGTTGCTTATGATGCAGCCCAGGATATAGTCAGCTTTCTGGGCTGCATGCACACATTGCCAGCTCATGTCCAGCCTCTCTCATATCCAGCATCCTAAAGTCCTTCTCCTCATTCTCTGCCCATCCTTTAGCTGTGCTAGAGGACTTTGCACTTGTTCTTGTTGAACTTTCTGAGATCTGCACAGGCCCACCTCTCGAGCCTGTCAGGGGTCTCCCCCCCAGCATGTGAACAACATCACACTGTTTCTTCAGGTCTTTTGAGTTATACTAATTCTAATGATGGCATGCTCTGCCCAAGCTAGGCCAAAGTTAGATTGATAGAGAATTTACTTGGCTGGATATTTGCTGGATGCAATAGTAATGGGTAAACATAGGGAATTTGTGGATTTTGTAGTGTGACATTTTTTGCCAGATACAGGTGAGAACAAAAGGAAGGAGTGACTCTGTCATTCTCTCTCTTGGACTCCTGACAATCTAATGTTCGTCCAGAATCAGAACAGGACATATCTAGAATACGCTGACTTCACAAGGTGGGGGTTTTTATTCATTACAACATAGTTTTTGAAATTCACAATAGATCCTTTACTCAAAAGACACAGTAATGTCTATCATATAAATATGATTTAATTTCTCTTAGAACTGCTGATCCCTCATGGAACAACTTAAAACCATAACTGAAATGTCACAAGTAGAACAAAATGAGTTTTTGAAAGATCAGATATCATTTTTTATCTAGTTTTTCCTGGACACTATGAATGGATAAAAACTACGGTGGTCAACAAAACTGTCTGTAAATAAAACATTTGGGTTTTTCCAAACTTTTTCATGAGGCAAGTCAGCTTGAGTAAAATTGCATAAACAGTATAGAAGCTCTAGGCAGGTGTAAAAATAGATATGCAGTTCCTCTGCTTTTTGATGATTTCAAGGAATTTGTAACTGACAGTGTTTGGCTGAATTTAACTGTGTCCAGCTGTCCAGCCAAATGAATTGTACTTTGACAGCTTTTCAAAAACAGAGTTATTGGCACTCTGTGTCCCATGGAAAGATCATTATCTACAGCCACAGCAAGCCCCAGAAAAATAGCTCATTCATTTTAGAAGAGTCGGATCAAGTGAACATCCTTTTAACTGAGTGTTAAGAACTGCTTTGTTTAAACATCATTCTCGGTGTATCAGACAAGCACAATAAAACTCAACTACTATAGTGAATGTCACGCACACCTTTAGGAGTATTGCCAATTTAGTCATTGATTTCTAAAAGAGTAGTTCTAGAACAAACTTAAGGTTTCTTGAAATTATTAAGGTATGTATTTTATCAAAATTTAAAAAGATCCATGATCCGTGTACATCTATAAGAAATTATCAAAGGGAAGAATAGTTGAATAATCTTTATGAAGATCATGGGAAAAGCTTGCCGGGATCATGTGCAGCAAAGTTCCTGCAGGAAATCCTTGGGGAGCAGGATGACTCAGGAGCCACTCTCTCACCCCTCCAGAATACAACAGAGCACTGAATTTTCCACCTGCAAAAATCAAGGATTTTTGCTAACACTTTCCTTTGTGTCATTGTGGGTGGGTAACACTACTGAATCAGGATACAACCATTCCCTAGGAGCAGTGCTAGGAACTCGGTATGCTATGAGTCAAATTTTAGCTCTGTCAGACATATTCAGTTCCCTGTGGATTCAGTCCTCCAGGAGTAACAAAATTTTTTCATCTTTGTAAAGTAATTGTGTCTTGATCCAAACTTTTACTGACCTCAGAACTGCATTATCATTTTTCTTTGCTTTGAGGACTGCTGGTGAATGTCTTCTGTAGAGAGCAAATGAATGAGGTGGTTCACAAGGTGCTTAGCCATTTTTCAGAACGAGTGATCCCTGCCTTAGGAAAATCACATAAAAGTGAAAACACTCAAAGAATTAAATTGATTAAACATTCAGGTTGATCTAGTCAAGACTAATTTTCTGCCAAAAGAAATATTGAAACAAAAATCAAAATGATAAACTTACACACGTGTATACATCAGAGACCCTATTATAGACCATGAGATGAACCCTGTTTATAGTCCCTTCCTGGACTGATATAACCAGGTCTGAATTATATGTAAAGATGAAGGTAATGGCCTTTTTTTTCCATGAACTATGTTACCTTAAAAGTCTAAGTGGAAAAGTGCTTACATGATTAATCCTCCCTCTCTCTTTCCCTTTCATTGTTCCCTAGCACTCTCCTTGAATTAGACTTTCCCATTCTTAATATCCTTATGTTCAGAGGCTTGTAGGAAAAGAATTTACATAAAGTACTAGAGAGTTATTCAATTTTCAGTTAATAAATTTAAAATCTTTAAAAACAGTCAAATAAAACTTAGTTAGCTGATAAAACACAATGAAAACGAGAGAAAAAAATTATAATTACGTTCACTGCAAAACTCAGAATGTATTACCATTACAGCTGTTGTCTAAGATATGCGCTGGAGGGACTGCTTTTTCACTGCTAAAAATGTATCACATCTTCGTTTTTTTCAATTCTTTTTTTTATCAGTGAAAGACAGTTTTATATTTAATTTGGATTTTATCTCCATTTTATCTCCTTTTCCATTTGTTTTCCTCCATTTGAGGATCACAATTCCATCCATTTAAGTTATCCTGCCTTCAATTTTTCTATTGTCGACTTACCTAGGCATATGCCAAAGCTAGTTTTAATTCAAAATTACTTTGTTCAGGTCCAGTGATACATTTCCTACTCCTCTGTAGTATCCTATTATTGTTTTGTCATATTTACTTGCAGATCAGATTGTGCTAGGATTTTCTTTGTTCAAACTTTTAAGGCCAGATACTGCTCTCTTAAACAAAGCATAACTAATGGGATCAAGAAGTAGTCAAAGTGCTGAGCATCATCAGAGCCAGTAGTTGCCGGTAGTTTCCAATTCATCAGCTCATCAGATGTGTTAGTACGTATCCATACATACTCCTCTACTGTTTTATGGAGTAGACCTCTCATGATAAGCTATTACAGAAGTGGATAGGCAAACATGAGATTCCTTTGTACTTTTCCTGTCACTGTGGCAATCTCTGAATCTGGGATAACCAACATCTGTTTTCTCTCCATCTCCCACAAAGTTGGCAATCAAACTTCTTGGAGACCTATCAGCAGAGTTAAGGACATCTTAGAAAACCTCCAGGCTGTACCTTCCAGTGGACATACTGCATAACAATGAGTAAATTGATATATACATATATTT